TCCACAGATTTTGCCAAAATTTTCTGCAGATTACTATTAGCTTCATTTATGAGACTGCACAGAGGACTGTGAATCTCCTTTGAACTCTTAAGGGCCAGATGGTTTTGCTGTTAGATCCTAATGACCCACAGCAGTGTGCATACACAGACACCACGGTTGACAGTTGACTGCCAACATGCAATAGAGGCAGAAGAATTCATGACCTGTGCTTCCAAAACACAAGCCATTCCTGCCTGGATGGAGGGGGCATCCCCCCTGGCTTAAAGAAGCATTTCTGCTACACCTTCAAAAAGACGATAATTTCTAAAGCAAGTCGTGAGCATACCTGGATCAGAGGAGACAATAGCAGGTGCACTGTCCCATGCAGCCCTGGGTGGATCCCTGCTGAGAATCATGAAGTAGTGTTTGCCCAGAGGCAAGGGCTCTCTGGAAGGCTGCATGGTGTGGGCCCTGGTCATGTGCTGGGAGAGGGAGGGAAAGGCTGAACTCAAACCAATTAAAGCTGTAGGGCAGAACAGTCATACGGAACTGCTTGGGGGACATGAATTATTTTGGATTATATTTGTTTCAACTGGTATAATATGAACTTCATTATTTTTTTTAGGAAATGTAGACAAAAATAGTAAATATGGTTTTACTCATCTTTTAATTTAGAACTACAAGTGTTTGGGTGACCTATGAAATTATTTTAATGTTCTCTGCACAACACTGTGCTGTCAGCACTATAAATGGGTGTTAGTTTCTATCATGGTCATTTAGTCTCACCAGCAGAGTTACCTCCATGCAAATGTCTTGACTGTGTCAAGCTGTGGGAATAAAACAGAGAGTCGCTGTTGCCAAGAAGCATCAGTCAAATTTCTTCATAATACTCAGTTTGAAGAGGAAGACATGAACACAACATCTAGGAGGAGTGTGACTGGGCAGCTTGCCCTTGGAGATTCAGGCACAAGCAGTCAGGATGATTTGCATTCAAATCAGTGCTTTTATGTCTGATTGTTAAAAATGCGTTCCAGCATTGCTCATATTAGTTGACATAGACTACCTGTATCCTTCCTTATTTGTATAATGCTGTGAAAAGTCACGGGGTAAGAAGAAGTATGGAAGAGAATGAGAAGTGTGACAAATTTGATTTGATGCAACTTTTGACCACTGGTACAAGATGAATATGGACTCATAACTTGAGGCTGCTCTTCTGTTCTCATATAGAAAGCATAGAAATTAGCCAGTGACTGTATAGGCTATAAGGATGCATCTAAGATACTGATGAAGAGTGAAGTAACAGAATTTGAAAATAAAATGAGGGATGTGATGACAGAGTAGGAGTGGAAGAAGTGTCTTGTAGAACATAAACAGTTGAGCTTTGAACATCCAAAACTTACCACAAAGGTAAAACCACCAAAAACTTTGTGTACTTTCCACTTTAGGTGTTTGGGGGGTTTTCTGTTCAAAGTTAGGAATCTTATCCTGAAGTTTTAAATTGTTTTCCTTTGCCTTAGCTCACATACTTAATAGTTTAAACATGGTAAAAGAAATTCTGCTGTATTTTGGATTTGTTCTTGTATGATAGACATTTCAATTACATGGTCATAGGATTTTTCCAACACTGTCGTTTGTTCTTTCTGTCTCATAGAGATTTAAGAAAGCTGATTAAGGTTGACTTGTACTTGCCTATGGTGTAAAAAACCATGAATTTTCCTTTTAAGTGCATGGAATTTCAGCTGATACACATTCAGTGTGCAATAGCTGTTTCTTAAACTTAGGATAAAAATAAAATGTCAAAGTCCTGTGTTGCACAAAGCTCCCCTTACATATAATCACTGACATAAGTGAGAGAGACTCTGGCAGAGCAGAAGGTCTGCCATCTTACTCTGCATGCTCCTGGAGGGATACATAATAGTTCAGAACTCTTGTGTCTTGCGTACAACTTTATTTTGCTCCAAAGCACCTCTTTAAAGTCTCTTGTCCTTGGCTTTTTTTTATGGTTTCAGTCTTTTCCATAACCAAGACAGATTCTTTCTTTCCAGCTAGTTGAACATGCAGTCGCAACACTCTTTTGAATCAGAGGTGTCTCCTTTGAAGCCCTGAAAAGATCTCTTAACTCAGAGAACACAAAGCTTAGTGAGTTGAGGCATTTGCATCTATAGCGCGTTAAAAAGTTTCCAAAGGCATCACATCCACAACAGTTAAAGAAATGAAAAGGGGTGCTTGGGAAATTTCTCACTACTCCTGTATGCCTCAGTTCTTCTGATCTGGGCTGACCTAAGTGAGTGGACACTGCAAACCTCTCAGGATTGCTGGATTTATCTAGCTTGCATTCATCCAGATAGCTCTCCCACTCAGCCAGGCTGAAGCAGGAAAAGCAATGCCCTCGAAAACCAGCACTTGCAGTGATTCAGCTGCCACAAGCTGGAGCCCTCAGCATGACACGAGTGGGCACACAGCATGTTGGTGGTGTGTAGTGGTGTGTGCTGTTAATACCAGCTGAGGGGCCGAGCCCTGCTTTTGAGCTTTCATAGCTGTGCTTCTTCCATTTAAGGGAGAATACATAACACACGCTGAAGTCCAGATCCCAAATCTGGTGGAAGCCTAACTGGCAGTAAGCAAGCACTGCCAGGGAGCTCTCGACATGAAGCACTATGATAGCAAAGGTCTTGTATGACTAAGATTCTTGAAAGCCTTGGTCAGTATTGGAGACAGTTTCCAACTGGGCAAAGTACAATATTTTCCTTCTGCTTTTTATGAATGGCTGGATAGGATTGTACTGGAGTCAGAGTCCCCTGTGAAAACCATTCATAAAAATAACAACAAAACAAAACAAACACACACAAAAAACTTTCGAAGTCCAGTCCAGAGCCACTGGGTGCCAGAGGCTGGGAAAACATGCTGGCAGCTCAAGCCCCAGCTATCACTGAAAGTATTCAAGGGGCTTTTTGGTGGTCTGAAAAGTATGAAGTGCTGTGTAGAAGGGCAGCTGGTAGAATTACTGTGACACATACTAGGCAGAAAGCCAGAGCTGGCCTTGTTTCAGACATTGTCTTTCCTCTCATTGAAGTGTCAGAACCTAATTCATGGAAAATTTGGTGAGTTGGCAGCTCTTTCAGATTTCATTGAGCTACAGTGTGTGAGAGTCACATGAATGCAGAGCACACAGCCAAAAATATATGGGGATTTCTGAGCAGGAGAAAACAGTCAGCTTCTAAGAATGTCTGCAGATTTCTTATGGTTTGGGAGTAAACATGTGTACAGGTGTAATCAGCAGGCAAAAAAAGAAAATAAAGCTGAAAAGCACTAGTGGCAGATTACTGAATTGCTCAATGAGTTCTGTAATTACGAGAGATTCCTTTGAAACAAATCATTCTTTTGTCCAAGGGCAGAAAATGTCCATTAATGAGTTTAGGGTTTGCAGTCCACCTGGAGAAGGCATCAATAAAATATGTGCCTTCGTAATAGCTTCTCCATTGCAAGGGAATTTAGTGGAAAAGGGTCCACCCTGAAGTTTAAAGACAGACCCAGTCATCATATAGTTTTTTTCTCATGTGTATTTGAGAGCAGAATTTGGAGCCTGAGGCACAGATACAAAATATAACAGCAGTAGGATTCCACTGAATTAGAAAAAGACTAAACAAACAAAGCATCTCTTGTTAAAATGGGACGCTCGTGGTGGGCAGTCTGAATTGAATCAGTTACATTTCATTTACATTTTTATTGATCCTTCCCAATGTAATATTGATCTGAAAGGCTAGTTGCACTAAACTGCTTTTTCAGAAATATTCCAGTTATTTCCTACTACACTGTCATGAAAATGAGGGTTTTGGCCATGCAGAGGGGGATAGCATGTTGGCTTCAGCCCAAGCGAGGCACTAAAATCACAGCTGGGATTAGGAACAGGCAGGAAGCAAGGGCAGGAAGAAAATCATTGGGTGCAATTCATATACCTTGAAGACAGAAAGTCCGGGGAGGAGCAGGAAGGCAGCAGCTTTGCCCTGCTGAAGTAAGAAAAGCCCTTTTGTGCTCTCAGTGTCAGGATTTCATCCTTTATCAGTGGTCTTTTTGTTCTGTGCTGCTCCTAGCACCCACAAGGGTCATCATATCATCTGGGCAGTGGTGGTGTATTTTAAGTGTGCCTGTATTAGTTCCTTAATTGGTCCTTCTCCCCAGGGTGGGGATGAAGCACACTGTCACCTTGGTGGGTCTCCTGACTCGTGTGGGGATGACCATGTTTCCCATTCCCAGGTGGGAGCACCCAGGAGTGAAACTTGCTGAGCAGACCATGGCTGTGCCACCAGGTCCTGCGTAGGCTGGTGGACATGGCCGCCAGCTCTCCCTGCCCACACCTGCCCAATGTTGGGCATCCCCAAAATCATGTCAACAGGCCTCACAAGGGTCAGCACAGCATCACCTTCATGCAGGTAGAGATCTCAGAGCAAAGCTTCTGAGAGCTGCAGCCACAGCCTGTCCCAGCCTCTTAGCTTTGGCAGAGATGGCTGTGGTCAAGTGGGAAGCCCTGGCTTAGGAATGGGTTTATATGTCCCTCACCTCTCTGCCCAAGCTGTGCTCCTGCTCATGGCCAGGAGGGAGGGCTTCCTCCACTCACAGCTGATAGAGGGTGAACAGCATCAGTGGAGACAACAAAATCCAGTTATAAAATTAGGCCACTCTTATGGTCTGTTAAGTAAATGCAGCAAAGTAAATCTAGCAGTACCATAGAAGAGATGAAAGATGTAACATGCTAAATTAGAATTCACCTCGGTTTTCATTGTACAAACTTAACATACTCATCTACATCCCCAGTAATCTGAACTACTTCAGAGCAAGGTCATAGATAGCTGTTGGAGAGGCTGGGTGTGAAACTGTGTATGTTCATCACTCCATTTCTGAATGTGAGCTTTGCCTGTTTTTTATTTCTGTTGCTGAAAACATTTTTCCCAGCATCTGTGAAATCACATTTAAGTGACCTCAGTGTCTTTTGTTTCTTACCATGCTTTTGTTTTACTTTTCAGCCTCAACAAGTGGTTCAAAAGAAGCCTGCTCAGGTAAGAAAAACTAATTTAAATTCTTTAGACTACTTTAAATGAAATAAATTTTCAGTATTTAAACTGGTCTCCTTTACTGTAAAAAATGAAGGGAAATACATCAAGCATACGAGTTGGGGGACAGCTGTTGGCTTGCTAGGCGCAACCACCAGAACAATTCACATGGTAGCCCTTGGGAAGGAGAGGAGGAAGTAGTGGACAGTCCTTGATTGGAAATGTCCTCTTTCTGAGCGGCCACCTTGAGATGGTAATGCAGGTACACGTACACACAGACATGGTGCGAGTCTGGCATGTGATGGGTGTCTCTGTGCCCTGAACATGGGTAACTGGGGACTGCTTACAGCAAGGGAGGGGCACAGGTATAAAACCCTTCTCCCCAGGGGTCTAAAGGAGTCTCTAAATACACAAAATAAAATAGGCTGAACTTGGTAACTGGACTGGATCCATCATAGAGTCTTAACGCATTTGAACTTCTGTTGAGTGGTATTATTCTCCTTTAACACCTTGGAAAAAGTGCAGTGTGTCATGAAACCAGTCAAACGCTGAATTTACGATCACCTCTATTTTCGTTCTCCAACTGTGTTAAAAAACCCAAAACCTAACTCTGCCACTTTGTTACATGTGCATGTGAATAGTCCATGGGCATAGGAACAGGTCCATCCCTGCTTGGCAGAGTCCATGGGCTGTGATAATGTACCTCTGTGAATATGAATGATTGCTGAGTCAAGAGTGTAAAGGTTCCATTGCTTTTCTGGAAAGAAGTCTGCTTTCAGAGGGGAATAATACTTTTGGTTTTCCACCTTACGGTTTTAATACATTATTGTACAGCGTACATTATTGTAGTATCAACTGTAATCTGAATTAGGAGCTGTTACATAAGAAACAGAAAACCTTCTATCTGAGAGTTGAAGGGATGGAATGATGTAACTCTCCAAATCATGTGCAGGAATTGAGTTTCTACAAAATAAACAGTTCCAGCAGTGATGGATCTGTGGCACTGGCAATAATATTAATGTCTCTGAATGGCAGAGATAACGTACAGGATGAATGTAGTAGTATTTTCAAGTGAGGTAAGTTTTGCAAGGAGTGATAATGTCTTTTATTAGGCCAATTTATGCAAGAAACACATCAGTCCCCGAGGACTTACCATCTATAACGTTCTGACTACACCACACAATTCAAAGCACACCAAATTGTTCTAATAAAAGGTATTTCCTCTCCCTGGTCTCTTCAACTGTTACTGCTGCAATCAGACTATTCCTACTACAACATGGTAGTAAATCTGCTGGTGGGCACAAAGCCAGCAGCCATCTCCTCTGTTGCACCTGAGGGACAGGGAGGCTTAAACCCTGCTGTGCAAAGGAGGCCAAATCTGGGAGGCAAAGACTCCCAGGAGTCTGTTTGTGTTGTGGTTTCCTCTGGTACATAGCAGAGCTCATGCCCACCGGGGTCAGCAGGATGAAGGGCACTAGACCTGGTGGTTCTGCCCACAGCCTAAGCCTGACAGAAGCCACTGCTGCTGATGGCACACATGGTGCCACTGGCACTTACTCTGTGTGTTCTGTTTGAACAGTAAGCGAGTGTGAGCCCTAGTGCAAGAGAGGAAGAAATGGTGAGGTTTGAGGCTGGGTAGAGGTGTGAGAGGACCTGGAACTCTGCCCTTTGGTAGCAGAACAAAGTACCGAAAAGTAGCAAAATGATGTAGGCATTTGAATCGAAGCACCAAGGATCCCTGTATGGGTCTTCTTTCCCAAAGCAAGGATTCCAGTGGAGATGCTGGAGGGTGTTTCAGCCAGCCGGATGCAGTGGCTGCTTCACAGTGCCTCAGCAGCATCTACGTGGTCAGAGGCAGAGAGAGAGAGAGAAAAAAGAGGCGCTCTGACATTCCCATTATTAATGAAAATGCTTGTGTAGAAAACAAGGAGGCACAGAAAAATGCATGAAAAGAGAGAGAAGAGGGCCTTTTAGAAATCCCCAGTCATCACAACACAAATAGTGAAATTACACTCTTTAAATTATTTGTGTGCCATGTCTTCACTTAGAGAACATTTCTTTTTTTAAATCTTTGTCCTGAGGGATGTTCAGTGCAATAGTTGACTTGTATTTAACCCTTCCTGGGTTTAATAGGCCCTGCTCCCACACTTAAGCTAACACAACATTGCGGTTTTGCTGGGCGTGGGTGTCTGGTAGAGAACAAAAATCATATCTGTGATCAAGCACTCATGACAATGTCTTCCTGAGGCTGAAAGAAGGAGGTAAAAGAGTGTAATTCCTGGGACGATCAGGAACTTCATGCTGCTAGGTTTCATTTAAGTCCAGTTACTCTTCTCTGTTTTCTCTTTCACTACTAAATTTCCCTTTAAAGGAGGGAGGTTCAGACTCAGACTTCTAACAACAAGAACATGAGCTCATTCAGGCTTCCTAATCTGAGCTGTCTAAGGAAATAGTGATAAATTATATAAACATGGGGACTACATGGAAGTTCATGGAGGATAATGTAAATCTTGCACTATATTCAGAGGAATCTCTTCCTTTTCCATCTGTTTCCTTCAAAATATCCTCCCAGATGGCTTTACCATGTGGCAGTCTGGATTAAGTTAGAAATGTATCCTTTCTTCATCAGTGGGGACTGTGAGATGTTACAGCCAAGAACTGCTGTGTGATGGTGAATATGTTACCCCAGCCTGCCTTGGTAAAAGTGGCAGAAACTCTTGGTCAGACTTCATCCCCGAGTGCTTTCCTGTGCTTTGAATTTTTGGTGTATTCTCAGAGATTTCTGTGAGCATTAAGTTTACACTACCGTTACTCTTGTTATTGCTGCTAGTGCCTGTGCCTCTTGGATTTGTGTCATTTTTAAAAGTATAGAAGCAGCAAGACCATTCTTATTTTATGAATAACAGCTTTGTTCCCATCACTTGTTTCCCAGATTTTAAGCACTTTCCAGGGCTCTGCCATGCTCTAAATCTCTTTATGGATATCTGGTGTCCAGTTTAGGGCCATATAGATGCCTATATAAACCTCTGCAATATCTTCAAACATCCCCAGAGCTCTGAAGATTTACCATCACACAGACAATAAATGCAGTAGTATAATCCACTGGAAATCTACACACCCATATCATTAATACAAACCTTTAAATACTGTGGTCTGTACACATCTTTGTGATGATTACTGACGCATACTCTCACACTTCCTTAGGGAAATGAGGAAAAGATAGCCAGCCTAACTGCGTGATATCTGTAAGTTTAACACTTACACATAAATATGTGCCTAAACCTCAAAAACAAGACGCTCCTTTGAAATTCGCTCTCTCTCCGAATGATGGACAACCAGATCTTACAATCATGATGTAGTAATATTCTTACTGAGGTGTGCAAATAAACAGTTGAAATAGAAATAGAAATTTCTCCATTTCCTCATTTTTAAGCTATTTGCAGCAGCTGTAGCCTCAGCCATATGGGGGAGTTACACTCTTAAGTAATACAAAGGAAATAGATATTTTTAGGAAAACACCATGAAAGCTATCAAAGCTTTCTGGAAACGGGACATGGTTTATTTTTATCATTTCTGGAGAGAAGAAATACTGTGAGTGTAGAACAGCCCTTTTAAAATCTTTTTTAATCTCTTTGGGAGGTCTATTAAAATCTCAAAGCCTTGCAAATCCTTTGTATCAGAGTCTGAAAGACAGCCTATCAGTCAGAAAGACAGTGTATCAGTCAGAAAGGTACACATAAAGTGTAAACAAAAAAGTGTACAGAAAAAGTATTCCAGAAGTACACGATGTGTACTTTTCTAGCTAATGCTAGCTGCAGTAGATGCTCTTAAAACATTAGATGCTTTTAAAACATCCAGAAAAATCAAATCCCAACAAGAATAAAAGCTAAAAAGATAAATGTTATTTTGTATAGGAAAGGAAATACAGATTCACTGTATTTTTTCCTGTTATTCATTTCTTAGTCTTGGTATCACTAAAGTTATGCATATTAATTAGTCATAATATATATGCACCTCACAACCTCATGTTATATGTGTTCCCTAGCTACATCCATCACATATGCCTACTCAGTATAGGACACAGTAAATGCTAAAAGCATCAGATAGGCTCTGCAGCGCAGGAGCTACATCTGTGATTCACACATTCATATGCAGCCCAAAAGCAGCAGACTTGGTGAGCAGAGCTGAGCCCGGGACCCATGGTGGCTGTGTGGCAGGTCCGATACGCTGGGATGCCCTGGGCAGCAGGCCTATGGTGCATGTGCTGCGTCACTTCTCTGTGCTGCGCAGTAAATCTGCACCTCCACAAGCTTCGGGTATTCAGCATACATGCTAGCTACCACATGTGGATTTAATTTTATGCCTTCTGGGAAATCCCAGACAAAAATGCGGTAGAAATGTATCAGAAATCCTCTTCAACAGGTTGAAAAGAATTGCCACAGACAGGATTGCCACAGACAGGATGGCAAATCCTTCGCATCCAAGGCAGGTGCACATACACATCTGAGAGAGCATGTGCCACTGTCCAAGCCCAACCTCTCTCCTGCCAAGCCAGGAATATTGCAGCCTTACTCAACTGAGCCTTTGCTGTAGAAACTGAAAAACCTGTTCCCTGGAGGTTGACCTGGTGCCTCAGGGTTTCATTACTCTTCCCGAGCATCCAGCAAGTTGTGTTGTATGTTGTGTACTTTTTCTTTATTTACTGATACAGAGAGTCAGAAAGTTGTCAGGCCCCAGAGGGGTAAAACTTTATTTTCCAATGGTACATGGAATTTCGTGCTAAAGTGTCTGGTAAGTGCATGTGTGTTATATACATCACTCCAGAACATCCTCTGAAAGGCTGAGTTGCCATTCTTTCATTACTGTTTTTTTTTAAAGCAAATACTGAATGTTTTCCCAGAGGCAGTGGCAGAGGCCATCTTGTATGTGCTGAAGGCTCTTGGTACCATGTGGAACACATGCTGAGCAAGTGTGTATCACAGCTCTATCAGCCCAGACTCACTGCG